TTGGATACAGGTAGATTGTGATAATAATGGTGAAATTCATCAGGTGTATCTGATTTTGCAAAATTTTACTAAATCTTTCTTCTTGCACTTTTTTGTGTTTTCAAAACTTTGTTTCATCGTTTCATGCATTCCTCTGAATAAATACTGTGCGAGTTAGGCATATAAAACCGAATTCTACCTTCGCCCATTGATAAATTAAATCTATTTTTCTGGTGGAATGTATTTAGGATAGCTGAATCTTTCAATAAGTTGTCTATTAGAAAATATGTTTACCACTAATACTTTTATTTACGAATTTTCACATAAAGATTCGCTCGTTACGACTTAACGAATCATTCGTTACAGCTTGACCAATCACCCGTTACATCTTGACCAATCACTCATCCACCACGGAGATTGGAACATCACGTGTTATTATCTAGTGGTTTTTTAAGGTTAGCTGTATCTCGGAAGGAAAGGGTGACGTAATCATCTCGTCGATTTCGGAACAATCGAGAAATTCCAGAGACGGCTCTAGTCATAACAAAACAAATAGGGTGAACACAATGTTGTAATATTTCAACAAACATATTCAACAAAAATAAGTAGCGGTAAACCACTCCCGAAAGACTGGTACGTTTTCACTCGAAATCACCGAAATCACTACAATTTTTCTCGAAAATTCCAAAATCATCATCTAAAATCATGGTCGAAATCAATTCGTCGCTCACAACCGGAAATGGCGAGAAAAAAAGATCATCGTATAAAATTAAGGTAAATTTTCAGTGAAATCACCTAAATTACATAAAAAAATTGTGATTTCCGAAATACAGGTACGTGTTGACCTCTGTTCTGGCCTTTACCTTGTTTTGGCAGGAACACTATTAAGAATCAGACTAAATATATTTAGCAAAAATAAGTTATATGGTTTTGGTAGACACACTTATCAATTGAACACAATGTTATGATTATGTTTTGGTATAAATGCCACTCCATCTTGTTTGTCCATATTGTTAATGCATTAACATGGAGTTGGCTTTTATTGGCTATCTCTTTATCATGAATATAGACTTCTTTCACACTTGTAGAAAGTGTACCTACTTAACTCGAAAATTCCAAAAGTGGAGCTATCTTGTTTTTCCAGTAACGCCACAAAATTTCAAACGCTCATTTAAAAATTAGCATGCTATTTAGCGCTGCAACCAATAATAGTATTGCGGGCTACAAAAAAGCTTGGAGTGCCGCAGGTTGAGTATGGCTACTCTAAGGGAATCGATCATACGACCCAAAAAGGAAGACGGGAACTGTGTTGCACAAATTGTCTCTCTAAATGCTGTGAAATGGGCGATGAATTCATTCTCCTCCTTCAAATCACCTGGAGAGGATGGCATTTTTCCTGCCCTTTTGCAAAAAGGACAAGAACTCCTACTACCCCTCCTTGTGAGGCTGTTTAGAGCAAGCTTGGCGTGGAGCTATATCCCACTAGGAAGGACGATGGCGAAAGTGGTATATACACACGAGGCTGGTAGAGTAGATACCTCCCTACCAAACTCTTATCGTCCAATCTGCATTTCTTCTAAAAACACTAGAGAAGATTCTAGATAGACATATTAGAGAAGGAGGCCTTCGGGCAAGCCTTTTAAACTCCTTCCAATATGCCTACCAAGCAGGCAAATCGGCAGACCATGCCCTGCATAATCTAGTAGACAAAATCGGCCATTCCCTAATTACGGGGAGATTGCGCTAGGTGCCTTCCTAGATATAGAAAGCGCGTTCAACAACCCCTTTCCTCAGTCTTTGTTCGCTTCTATTGAAAGAAGAGGAATCGACAAACTAAGTTGGAATTGAATCAAAGCATGCTGGCAAACCGAAACATTACTTCATCACTGCAGGGAGACTATCACTTTTAGGCCACAAGGCGGCCGTACTTTCACTACTACTGTAGACCATTCTGGTGGATAACCTCCTAGACGATCTCTCCCGACAGGGGGTGGATTTCCAATGCTATGCGGACGATCTGGTTATCATAATTAGGGGAAAGTTCGAAGGGATAATCTCCAACATCCTTCAACAAGCCCTTAATATGATCAACAGATGGTGCGAGGGGGAGCAGATGTCTGTTAACCCCCGCAAAAAAGTTATTGTCCCCTTTACCAAGAGAAAAAAAGCTCGACAAGCTTCGACAACCTACCTTGGTTGGGGAAACCATTCGTTTTGCGGAAGAGGTGAAATATCTGGGGATCAGCCTAGATGAGAAACTCAACTGGAATCCCTAAATTGGATAAAACCATTAACAAAGCCAGAGTATCCCTCTGGACCCTTAGAAGGATATGCGGCAAAGCATGGGGGATCAGTCCTTAACTGATCTACGGGATTTACCAAACAGTTGTAAAACCCATAGTTATGTACGGCTCTGTCGTCTGGTGGGACAAAGGACTTGGAGACCATGCTGGACTTAACCCCTCTCCACATTCTGCTGGAAAGGGAGGCCAGGATGGTTTCCTACAGACTCCTAAAGGTGGGTTGTAAATGCTACGAAGAACTGCGATAAGACAAGACGGTGCTGATGAGTGAGATTAACAACCGGCATGGTTTTAGACTCGCTAGTTCCACGACAGTCATACAGCGTCTTCATCCCAGATAGGGAGCAGATGGGAAAAAAACCCTCTCCCAGCAAACTATGCGTTGTACACGGACGGCTCCAAAACTGAAAAAGGAGTAGGAGCGGGAGTTTTCGGCCAGATGTCTAGACTTGACACATCAATAAACCTAGGCTCTCTGGCCACGATCTTCCAAACAGAAATGATTGCTATAGAATTGGGAGCGAGAGAGTTGATTAATTTTCTTGTTGCAAATAAAACTATGAAGATCTTTTCAGATAGCCAGGCAGCCCTTAAGGCCCTGAGCTCCAATCGAGTTGACTCAAAGCTGGTTTGGAACTGTATAAATACCCTTGAATGTCTCGGTGCTCGGAACAAAGTTACTTCGATCGGGTTCCGGGGCACAGTGGCGCGGAGGGCAACGTAAAAGTCGAGGCGCTTGCTAAAAGAGGAACTGAATCTGTGTTCATAGGACCAGAACCATTCCTGGGCATTGCAAACAGCACTGCCAAACGAATTATCTCAAAATGGACGGAGGGTGCAACACTCACGAACTGGCGAGATACCCCAGGGCTAACTCATTCGAAGGCGTTTATAACAAACCCTTCTATGAACGCCTCTGCTCAGATCCAAAAATGGAGTAGGAAAGATCTACGCATTTTCACTGGACTGATGACATGAGATTGCCGTCTGGGCAACCATATGAGAAGGATAGGTCTGCAACAAACATCGGACTGTCGATTCTGCAGCGTGGAGGACGAGTCTGCAGAGCACATTCTATGTACCTGCTCCGCTCTGGAAAGAACCAGGTTCCAGATCTTCGGATTTACCCGACTGGATCCTACCGACTTTAAACAACTCTCACCCAATTTAACCATGGCCTTAATCTATAAAATTGTACAATAACTGCTTAATACGTTAAAACTATGTGGGGCATCTGCCCCACCAGCAGTTCTGAAAGTGCCCCAACCGGCTTTCTATTATCCAAATATATTTAACACTTATATGGAATAAGTTGTAGGTTATGTTAATATAAATAGTAAAACTACACATATTAGAGTTAATGCAACTCGATTTTTAAAAAACTGTAATGACTACATACCAGAAATAGGAATATTAACAAAACTTTTTTCATGCCAAAAACACCTTTTACAAAAAAAAAACCTGTGAGTGGGAACTAAAAACACGAAGCGAATATGGTAACTGGCGGGGGTATGTTGCCAACTTTTAAAAATGAAATCGGCGCGAAAACTTCAAAATTTAAATTTTTATAACCGACAGCTGATTGTGCCCCATGATCGAACGCGCCCCAGTCTCCCCTAAGTGTCTTAATTAAAAAATAATTTTTTGCTGTCAATTATAATTATGTTATCTGTACGAAAAAAAAAAAAAACAAAACAAAACGGTGTTGTTATGGAGCATGTAAAATTGACACACAGTATAATTCATTCAAAGGCAATACATATTATTTTATAAATTTTCCAAGGCTTTGGCTAAAAATGTCAGAAAAAATTATCAAATTATCAGGAAAAATACATATTAAAACATGTTCAAAATGCATAAAAGGTTTTTGATCGATTGATGATGTTACTAAAGATATTTATATTTGGTCACTTCATTTTCATAGAGAAAGTGGTCCAACAAAAGAAAATCCTTATCTGGTATTACATATTACACAATAGTTTTTAATATTAAATACTACTTCGGTATACACAGTAATATGATTTAAAATGTCATGTTGATCCTCAAACTAATAAATAATTTATTTTATTAATTATATTCATGAAAAACTTTCATGTCGATTAAAGTGTTTTTGCAAGTACTAATATAGCTTGGCATAATTATTATAATAGCGTTATGATTATTATTTGTTTTCATAATTTTTTTACACAGTAAACAAGTATTGATACACCTAACCTCCCAATCAGAACACATTTTGCCTTGTTGCAAAGGTCCAAGACACTTTAACCACCTTTTTAATTGCTCACAACTATGTGATTCTACAGAGTTATCAAAAACTTAAACCCCATCAACGATTTTTATTAATGATTGATTTGTCTGTAAAGATAATATTGCTTTCCTAGCCATTCTCAATCAAAACAGTACGAAACTTTTAAATTACCGCCTGCTGCGCTTGCGCTCATCACATGATGAAAAGCCTATTGCATACCATGGTATTCAAATTATTAGTTTATTAACTTTAACTATTATATATTAAACACTATAATTTTTGTATTTCTTCATAAAATATGTTATTTTTTGTATCACAAGCCTGACGATGGCCATGTTGGCAGAAACTAGTCGAATTTAAACTGTTTAGAATTACCTTAAATAAAATAAAGAAGTAAAAAAAAATGTTGACCCTTTATTTAAGGATTAATCTGTGAGTTTTAAAATAATATAATATACTAAAAAAATTACCTGCCAATAAGGGCACTGCCAAAAAAAGACTTCCAATCCAAGATGTTGCTGACTCAGAGGCCCCAAATTTGTTTAAAAATTGTACAAGAAGCAATCCAAAAGAAAAACTAACCCCTTCCGATATAGCATTCAATATAAATGCTGAAAACACTATCATCCAACCCCAACCTCCATCGGGAATTTTTGGTTGCGCTTCCTCGACATATAGTTCAATTTGCGATGTGATAATGGACTCTTTTCCTTGGAATTTGTGGATATCATGGTCATGTGATGATTTTCTTTTCTTTACGGGTACATGAGCCATACTTCGCTTTGGTTCTGTTCTTCAACGAATTTTCGATGAATCATGGATGCAAATTAGCTTTTTGTTTTTTTTTTTGTGTGGTTTAATTGGAAGTATTGCTGATTTCTTCATCAATGATCATCAACTAACTGAAACAAAAAATTTCAATTTTCAGATGTTAACCTCGTATATGTGAATCATGTGGTTAAATCGATAAGATTATTTTGGTTTTATTACCATATTTTTTATTATATTGTGCAACATCACTTTTATTACACCTATACCTACAGGTTGCGAAAGTTTGGATTGGATATACTTCTAATTACCTTGATTATGGCCAGCTCTAAAATGTTAATTTATATGTATATATAGAGGGTGTGCAGTCGGTAACGCCTTGGTCAGTAGAGCCAAAACTATTTGAGCATTAACAAGTATTTCTTCGGCATTCAATGATATATGAATGACAAAATTTTGCTAAAGTACTTTAAAAGTGCTAAAGTTAAAAATGGAGGAATAAAAAATTTTTGCTGCTAATTGGAAAAAATCGTAATGGCTACGACAAATGTATCCGAACAGATGGCGGATTAGTAGTAGCAACTAGGATATAAATTGAAACTTAATTTTGCACCAAATTAAAATATTTAAATTATTATTTTTTAGTTAAGTTTGTTTAATTATTTTTTCTATTGCCTTCAACTGAACGAATATATTTCATATCCATTCTAGATAGTGAGAACACTGCAAAAAATGAAATCCACCAATCACCGTTCATGTTTTGATCAACCGACTGCTATTATTTTTAAAATTTTAAATAAGTGACAATTCTGTCAAATTAATTGTCAGTATATTTTTTAGTTATTGAGATTAAACATTCATTAAAATAGGTTATTCTTGTGTAGAATCGATAATTAATAGCATTTCTGTTTTTATTTTGTCTATAATTATAAATAACTTGTTAATTTAAATAAAACTATATGAAGTCAATTTAATTAAGAGTATTAAAGAAACAAAAATAAAAGAATAGGTGGTCCTGTGGTTAGCGTTCTTGCCTTCCACACTGAAGACTCGAGTTCGATTTTCGGATGAGAAAAAATGAAATGCACTTTTCTTCTTTATTTTATTTTAAAAATTATTAAAAATCCTATATTATTTTAAAATTAGTTATTTGTAAATTTTCGTCAGTGGGTCGTAGAAAAAATATTCTGTACAATCTGAGTGGATTGTCCACTTCGCACTTAGATGATTGAGCACTCCGCCTACGGTGTAGTGCTCAAATTTCGTCTTCGTGCGATATTGACATCATATCCACTCTTGTTGCACAAACTACTATAGTTTAATTATTCGTTTAATTGCGTGCAGTAAAAAATTACCGTAATTTATATTTTTGGCAACTTAAGGTGGTAATTTACCGGTTTAAATAACAAAAATTAATAAACGTGGTAATAAATTTCTATCGTAAATTGCTGTGGTAATTAACCATAATATACGTATTTTACACACATAATAATGACTTTGAAAGTGTCGGAGTAGAACGTAAAATTGTTACAAAACGTCAAATCAACAATTTTTCATAGTTCGTATGGTAGCTAAACCTAATTTATGTTATGTTGAGAATGTGGTGTTAATACACTGCGACCTAAAAGATCTATTGTGTCCCCTTCTGTCGCTAATGCACCAGGGTAATACCTCAATCCCTAAAACGACCTTTCCAATCCTATCTTCATAAGGAAGTGTAGGATTTGGAATCGCTTTAAGTTAGGTAAATCTCCCTCTTCTATTTGATATCTTCCTAGGTATAGTGCTCTTGGATTCTGGAGTGCTACACATTCGGTTAGAATGTAAATGGAGGTATTGTCCTCCTCCTCACAGAATCTGCACTTAGTATTCTCTACTACTTTCAGTTTACTAAGGTGTCCTTTTAGACGGCAATGTCTGTTACAATACGTAGCCTGTTCTTGCTTAGGCAGATGCAGGCTTCCGATATTTTCTAGTTATATTCACCCAGAAGTATCTTAGCCTGTCTCAGCCTCAAGAGATTGTTCCAATTATCGTTTCTTCTACTGTCCAATTCATTTTAATCTCTGCCAATATTATGTTACTGTTGATACCGTAGAACGGCTCAGGTCCTACAAAGGTTGTTTGAGCCCCTTTCCTTGCAAGACTATCTACAATTTTGTTACCCTGTACCCCGTTATGTACCGGGACCCAAGTGAGAGTAACTCTACGTGGCTATCGGATATGATGATAATCTCTTGTCTACGATAGTTTCTCTCGATGTTAAACTGGATACACTTCTCGATGGCATGAATATCCGCCTGGAAGATGCTTGGGTATTTTTCCAAGCTTTCGGAGTACTTAGTTCTCGGCCCATACACTCCTATTCCAGTTCCTTCTATGGTTTTGGAGCCATACGTATACTACTGAATAGCATGTCTTTCGGTTGCAAGAGCGATGGATTCTTGGCTCCAGTTATGTTACTCCATGCTATAGCCCCGTAAGTGATGATTGTTTTAACTATTGTAGTATACATTTATCGCAGTGTGTTCGGGTTACATCCCCATCATTTACCCGCAATGTTTCTGCGTACCATTAGGGCTTTTGTGGCCTTGTTTACCACTTCCTTCTCATGTATGTTCCAGAGAAGTTTGTTGTCCAGGGTTAAGCCTAGATATTTGACTTCATTTTTCCATTCTATATCTATCCCGTATAATTTAACGGTTTGAAGATTAAGTTTTCTTTTCCTTAAAAAGGATACTAGTGTTGTTTTTGTAAGGTTTATACGTCCCACTTCACGGCACCATCTTTTGGTATGTTCTAGTCCTCGTTGGACTATATCACACAGGATATTTCTAAACTTGCCTCTAGCGAATATGATTATGTCGTCAGCATAACCTTGACAGGGTATGCCGAAGTCAGTCAACCTGCATAGAAGTTTGTCTACGGTTAGGCTCCACATTAGTGGAGATAGAACTCCTCCTTGTGGACATCCTCTGGTTGTGCAGATGGAGATGATTTCCTGTCCTATACAGTTCTCGTAGATAGCAGTTGAGCCATCGATCTGGATGTGATGTTATCTACTTCTTTGTATACAGGTGCTCTTTTGACAGATTCGTGTGGCGTGTTGTCAAAAGCTCCTTCTATGTCTAGGAAGAAACACACGACCGTTTATTTGTTTGTCAGTGCATCCTGGATTATGGCAGTCAGCTGTACCGGGGCAGTTTTTGTAGATCTTCTTGCTCGGTACGCGTGCTGGCTGTGGTGGAGTAGCACCCTCTCCAGGACTTCTGTTCTGATATAATTATCAACAGACTTCTCCATTGTTTTTAATACAAAGGATGTGAGGTTGATTGGTCGAAAGGATTTAGGATGTGTGATATCCTTTTTCCCTGCTTTTGGAATAAAGGTGACTCTGGCCCTTCTCCATGCTTCTGATATATATCCCAGTTCCAGACTGCTTCAGGATAGCCGGATTATGTATGGTAGTAATTCTTCCTCTGCCTGCTGAAGTAGGGCAGGAAATATTCCATCCACACCTGGAGGCTTAAACGGTTCAAAAGTGTTTACGGCCCACTTTAACCGATTTGTGCTGCACGTGTATTTCGCCACTACAGCGGCCTCTCTTGGGGGGTCTGCCTACCTTAGTTGTGTCCCTTATTAGAAAAGGTGTGCTTCCAAGAAAGTGAGTTTTGAGCTCTTTCCTCCTCACTCTCCGTGAAGCTTACATTTGGTTTCTTTAATACCATTACTTTATCAACTCTCCCTTTTGCGAGGACCCTGTGCAGTCTCGCTGCCGTAGGTGTAGAATTAATATCCTCGCAGAATATTCCGAAGCTGTTACGTTTAGCTTTCCTGATTTCTTTTTTGTAGGTAGTAAGTGCATCGGTGTAGCTCTGCCAATCTCCGCTGTGCTTGGCCCTATTATAGATGTTCCGCACTTCGGATCGTAGGTTTGACAGGTCATGGTTACTCCAAGGAGCATTCCTACTAGTTCTATTCCTTTGAATGGGGCAGCTTGATTCATATGCCTTAAGTATTGCCTCATTTAGAGAAACATAATATCGCGAAGTATTTCCAGTGGGCGCTGGCAAATACAATTTTATAGAAGAAAATCCTTAAAATATTTTTGCTTTCGCGAGAAGTCCGGTTTGCTCTTATATTCAGTACGAAGTCGTGTAGTTCTTATAGTATTATAATCCGATCTCTTATTAGGTAAAAACTTCCTGTAAAGATGTTTGATATTCCCTGTCCACATAACTGTAGCAATTTATAGTTTAGGTTTTAATAATTTAAAATATATAAGTTTTATTAAATTTATATTAGAAAAAGGATATGTTTGTCTGATTACAAATCCAAGAACACGATTAACTAATTTATCAGTATCATCAATATATTTTTGAAACAAAAATTTATTATTATAAGGAACACCTAGATCTCTGAACTTATCTGAACTTTCTAAAGATTTGTCCATTATTTGATAGCAAATGATTTTCTGTCTGGTCATATTCATGAAACATACATTTTTTGATTTTAATATTTAATTTAAATTTGACACTAGTTTCATAAATACTATCTCAGTTTTTTAAAGAGTCACACAGTTACGAGATGTTTGTATTTGTTTAAGTATATATTTTGAGGTTATTTGCAAATAATAAGCATTTAAAAAATGTAATACATTTCGTAATGAAATTTACAAATAACATGAAAAACAATGGACCCAAGTTTAAGCCGTGAGGTACGCCTAAAGCAGCGTGAAGGACCCCAATACATATATGATATGTGAATTTGCTTTATACTTAAATACCGAAAACAGCACTAGAACTTTCACCTATAGCATCATTAAAAACAACTGTTTTTTATCTTTTATACCAAACAAATAAAACAGGAAGTTCCATCCATAGATATCCTATTGGTTAGAGCATTCTTTAATGGCCAGAGCAAAGTCTAATAAAATATATTTATTAAATAATGATAAAAAGAAACAACCCTGGATAACCAATACTGTAAAATTGATGCAGAAACTTAAGG